ATCAATAAAAAACGACGAAGACATTTCTAATTAAAATAAGACTTTAGACTTTCGTGTTATACCACTGTGTAGCTTTGGTCAGCACATATCAGATAAGAGAAGTTATCAAAAAAAAAGATAATAGAACGAAAAAAAAACGTATAAATCAAGTTAGTTTTTTTCTCTCATACATCTTAGATCAGATTTTTGAAAAAAATGCATCAAAGTTGCTCATTTATTACTATTTTGAATATTGTGACTATAATATTATTTATTATTATCGCAAGTCAATCAACTCCATTAGATGATTATGTTCGTGCTCAAGATCCCCATTTTGGCTGGAGTCTTATACAAACGTATGATGAACAAGATTACAAACTATATATTCTTAATTTTACATCACAAAAATGGTATGATGGTAAGTTTTAAAATAGTTCAGAAACAAACCAGAAAGAAAATAATTATATGGTTAAGAAACATTTTCAAGTCGACCTATTTGGTGGCATTATCTGTGTGTTATTGTACCACATAAATTAACACGACCCAATACTGGCTTCATGCTTATTGATCAAGGAAGCAATACTGATCGGTTAGAATAATCTTTTTTAGAAAAAAAAAGATAATTTCAATTGAATAGATAATTCTTTTCAGCATTCCACAACCACAAGATGATTTCGTCGCCTTGACATCGATGGTTGCAGTTGGTACTGGAAGTATTGCCGTTGATCTTCAAGATATTCCAAATGAACCAATTTATTTTCCAGTAAACTTCTTTGATAGACAAATTCGAGAAATTTATTGTTCTAAACTGTTTAATAATAGGCTGATCCAACAAATCGAAGTCGTCATGAGGATTCGTTGATTGCTTGGACTTGGAGAGCATTCGTTGATAATTCATCAAATCTTTATGCTCCTATAAATGTACCAATGACGAAAGTATTCAATCATTTTCTATTGAAAAATAGTTCTACATGACTTATTTGAAATAGGCATCATATCGTGCAATGGATGCTGTTCAACAATTTACAGATAATCAAAATATTACTACACCAAAAACATTTGTTATTGCAGGTGCTTCAAAGGTTGATTTTCTTTTTTAATATAAATATTAAATCGACTATGAATATAATTTCTAGCGTGGATGGGCAAGTAGGTTCATTATTTGTTAATATTATTCGTTGAGTGAATTTCATTAAAAATATTCAGCTTGGTTAACAGCTGCTGTCGATAATGAACGTGTTATTGCTGCTGTACCTATTGTCATGGATATTTTGAATCTTCAAACTGTAAGATATCATTCGGATGAATTTTTTTTATTATTTTACATTGAAAAATTTTGTTTTAATAGAATTTACATCATCATTACAGAGTATGTTGAATGATCAATTAGATAAATTTCTATAGAATGTGAATGGCTTCTAGTCTTTAGTTGGTTGGACTTTTGCTTTCCATGATTATTTTAATTTGAATATAACTCAATATATTGATTCAGAGATGATGACTAAAATGGCAGAAATTATTGATCCCTATTGTTTGTATCAAATAATTTTGCTGAAGAAGAATATTTTCTTTGGTTAATTAATAGACTATTTGGATCGATATGCAAAAATGAAAATCTTACAAATTCAATCGACTGGTGATGAATTCTTTCTTCTTGACAATGAAGTTTGTTCAAATTAATAAAAATCAAAAGATAATTTTCGTTCTTTTTATTTTTATTTTTTTGTTTTTTAGGCAGCTTTCTGGAATAAACTTCAAATTACAACAGGTGGAACATATCTTCGGTAATCGTTTGTTTGTTTTTTTGTTTGTATAATTGAACAAAATAAATATTTTTCTTTCTATAGTCGAATACCAAATGCTGAACATACATGTATCGGACATATAATAAGTTTATTTTTCACTATGCGAAGTTTTTATTTGAGTATATATGATGTAAATTTAAGATAAAAAATATCTAAGAAACAATTTATCTATTTTCATCTTTTTCAAGAATCAACCATTACCTAAATTTCAATGGATAAAATCATCGAATAATACACATGGATATATTCGTGCAACAGTAGATTTTAGTGTTGGACCTAAACCAATCAATGCCCTTGGTTATCGTGCTCGCACGTTAAATGATAAACGGTTTGATTTCTTTGAAAAATACTTTTCTGTTTTGGATGTTTGTATCAATAGACGTGATTTTCGTCTTCTAATTGCTAATCCAAATAATCCAAGTAAATCAATGGCAAATCCAGTGTTTTGGTTTACAACTGATCTTGTCATCGAGGTAAAAATTTATTTGTTAAATTCATAAAAAAAAAATTTTAAATAAAATATAGGCAGAAACAAATACAACAATTGTCTATTCATTAACAATTGAAAATCCCAAGGATGGTTGGGAAGGTTTTCTCATTCAAGTTAATTTTCCTGGTCCTGATGGTACTGCATTGGAATTGACAACTGAAACACAAATTATCCCCGATACTTATCCAACAAGTGATTGTCATGATACACAATGTTGGGGAACACTTGTCTAATATTTCTTTGACATTTAAAAACACCATCATTTATTTCATTAAATTTTCTACTAGAAACAATTCATTTCGAAGAAAACGATTGAAAGTTGATGATCGACTCTAATTTTAGTGAACAGTCTTTGATAGTTGACATAAGCGAAATCGATAATACAGAAGAAAAGAATTATTGGATTGCTGCTGTATTTCTTTTTGAGACTAATACAAGAGTTTTTTTGAGAAAATAACAATGTCATTTTAAGTTTGACTGTCGACGCTGAAAACTGATTCGAAAACTTTGTAAAAAGTCGTTATTTTCTCCAAAGATTCTGTCTTCAGCAAAGATATTAGTCATAAAACTATACTAATACTATGAATAGCAAGTCTGATCAATAACCATACCAATACTATCAATATCATAAATATCAGTATCTCCATACTCTATCGGTGATGTGACATGCCTAGTGCTAAATAAAAACCAATCAAACCTGATAATATGTTAAGCAAATTATTAGCATCTAATCTGCAGGCATTAAGCATCACCTATGTATCTGTTTTTTTCCCATTAGGAAACTATAATTAATCCTATGTAAAATTAATTTGTATTCAGTCATGCTAATAGAAGATCGTCTTGTCTGAACGATATCACCAGATATCACTGGAAACTCGAAGCGATCATCTCTGCATATAGTGAATTAGGAAAACAGTCGAAAAATTTTGGAAGACACTACATTCATGTGAGTTTTTATTTATTAGGAGCTGAGGTGCGAGGAGTCAGATGACTTACAACCATCTATACTCTGTACTCATCCGATCCTAATCAGCCAATGACAGTGTGACTCGTTGAGCAACACACGTGTTGGTTGACTTTCAAAAGAGTAACAGACAGTACGTAAAACTATTTTCCCCTTAAAATGAACTAGTACCGTCAAAAACTTTAGTACATAGTGTTTAACAGTTTCCCAAAAAACTGTCCAGTTTTTGGATGAGTAGCTACTTCAGAGTTGTAGAAGCCAACTGCGTGCGCAAGCAACCGTCAGGAGAAAGTTGAGGAGATTTATTAGTATTAAGGAATACTTTTGAAAAACAATGAGTACTACATAGTAAATGTTGCATTTTATTATCTATGTTTGAAAGTTTAATAGTTGTTAAAACTTTACTTCTAATCTCGTTGGATAAAGAATTTCATTCTCGACAAAAACTGCCTAGTTTGTTTCCCGGAAAGATTTTTCATAAAAGTATACACTTTATCAAATTAAAACCTATTGAACTATCAAATTGTGAATTCCTAGTCTTTTAGGACTCAAAAAGGATTCATATAAGAATATGCTCATTAAAGTCAATACTCAAAACGAAATATTGTATATCGAAACATAGAGAGTTTCTCGCTATATAAGCTCGCAACCTAGCTATGACTATGAGTTTGTTATTTATGAAAATGAAGTTCCGAATTAACAATATATGGTATTTTATAATCAATTTAATAAATGATTTCATATTTGGTGTATGGAAATAGAAAATAATTTAGATTGGAAAATATCAAAATGCAACTGTCCATCGTTTTTTAAGAATTATATATGCAAACATATTGTTGGCATGGCTATTCATTTAAAATATTGCAAACCACCAGCAGCAGCAAAAACAGTGCCCATCGGTGAAAAAAGAAAAAGAGGTAGACCAGCAAAGGCTAAACCTGCTTTACTAGTACAATGATTCGATTTTCATTCTCTTTTTTCATTTTATTCTTTATATTTCTATTTAACCCTTAAAAGCCCAATGTCCCTTGGAAGGGACATTCTGTGTCTCCATAAGAAAAAATAAATTTTCTTTTTTTACTATAATATAATCATAGTGATGAATCAGAAGCTCAGCTCCGATGGTTGGTTTTTTCAAAATGTCACAGGAACCCCCTCGAGCTTTTAAAGGTTAAAGTTAAAAAAATCATAATTAAACTATAACGTTCAAAGAGTTAAGGTCAAGGCAGATTTTTTCACAAAAATCTTTTTTTATACCAAGAGTAATAATTTTTTTGAAGAAATTTCTTTTTGAAAAATCGACTTTAACTTTAATAATTTTATAAGAAGACTCAAAGTTTGATTGTCAGCACCAATATGGGTCTAAACACTTTTGATGAACTGAGTCCAAAATTTTTGAATTCGACGGGCTCTAGTCCTTTATCAAGCTATTACTTCTAACCATGAATCTATTACCACAAACTTCTCGATCTAGATTTTGACATTTGCTGACATCTGTTCCTTGTCCAACGTAGACTCAGAAAACATTCAAGTGTAACTCATAATTTCAATGGAGCGTCAAAATCAGATTCATATTATTGAGTATCGTTTAACAATATCGATGGAATGTAGTATATTGATAGGTGTATAAGCATGTTCTATTATTACTTTTACCTTCTCTTGTGTTCTTTTATTTTCGACTTTGACAGATATTACAATATTAATTATTAGGTTAATATTCGACTCAAAATTATTTTAGTATTAAAAAACTACTAGAATCCGTTTAAGCATTGTTCTTAATTAAATCAGCTGCTCTCTCTGCTAAAGCAACTACTGGAATATTTGTATTTCCTGAGACAAGACTTGGCATAATACTTGCATCAACCACACGTAAACCTTTAACACCTTTGACTCGTGTGTCAGAAGTTACAACACTCATGGAATCTTCTTGTTTTCCCATTTTACAAGTACCAACCGGATGATAGACCGTAAGAGAATACTTTCGAACGAATGACTCCCAAAATTGATCTTCGTTTTCTATTGATTCGTCTGCGTTCATTTTTATTCCTGATTTTAATATATTATTCAGCGGTTCACTTTGAATAATTTTCTCAATTAGTTTACATCCTTCAACCAATATTTGAACATCTTCTTTGTCTTGTAAATAATTTGGATTGATAATTGGATGTACGAGAGGATCACGACTTGCTAGTATAATTTCACCCTTGGACTTTGGATGCAAAAGTGTAGGCGAACAAAGAACAGTCCATTGCCAATCATCAATGATATTTCGTTTGATATAGTGTTCATAAAATTCTGGTTTTATGTTCACGTTCTTAAAAGCTTCAGCATCAGGTGTACCTGGGGAAAAATGTATTTGAAGATTGGGTGTTTGTGTCTTATCTACAAGAATAAATAATTAAAAGTGAAAATATGAACTGACAGAGAAAGAAATTGAACTTGGATACGATTTACCGTTTCCATTTGAATGACACCACGCCAGTGATTGAATAACGCATGATGCTAATGGACCTTTTCCTTGCATTGCCCATTTTTGTAAATTCTCGGCTGTTGCATCATTAACTGAAGACGTTGGTATTTGAGTCAGACACACTAGAAGAGTGAACATATGATCTAGTAAATTTTTACCAACACCCGGCGAATCAACAATTATTGGTATCTGATGTTTGTCTAATTCTTCTTTTGGACCAATACCAGAGAGAAGAAGTATATGAGGACTTCCAATTGCGCCTGCTGATAATATGACTTCTTTACCTTTGATAAATTCTTCTTGATCCAATGAATTACTACGTTTAACAATGACACCTATAAGTATATGAAACGTGTTTCTATTCAAAATCATCATTCAATACTTTGATAAAACACTAATGATAAACGATAAAACAGGATAGACACTATATTAGATGGAATTCATATTTTCTATCTTAAAAATTATTATGATATCACTCAAAACTGTTTTTCAGAAAGACAACTTTAGTTTTCTACTTACCAATTGCTTGTTGCTGTTTATCAAATACTACTCGACAAACATGTGTATTTGTAAGTAAATCAACATTTTGTCGTTTTACTGCTTTTAAAAGATAACCACTTGCTGTTGACCAACGTTTTCCTTCTTTTGTTGAAACTTGTGACATTCCTACACATCCATTAAGACTTTCTTCGGCATTATAATCTTTACTTTCATGAAATCCATGTTTTTTACATGCTTCAATAAATAATCGATTTATTGGATTGGGATCGTCAATTAAAGTAACATTCATCATTCCATTTTCTTGATCATGATTGCGAAATTTCTCGTTTCTTGGAATTGTGTTTGGATCAGCACGTTCCAATTTTTTAAAATATTTTAACATTTCTTGAAATGACCATTCTGGTAATTGCCAATTATCATAATCATGAGGATCACCACGAACATATTGCATAGCATTTATAGAAGAACATCCACCTAAAACTTTACCACGTGGCCAATAACTTTGTTGATTAATACAACCAAAATGTGAATAAAGTTGAGGCACACTTTTATATTGCCAATCAATATCACTACGTTGAAGAGTAGAACTAAAACACAAAATAAGAGGGTCGGCACAATTCAGAATTTTGTACACTTATCCATGGGCAATAAAAAGTAGCATATAGACTTAGAAATCTGTTACACAGAGAAGAAGATAAACTGAATATTGCTATAGAAGAATCGTACAGTAGAAATTCTAATAAAGAATTTAAAACTAGCAGAAGAAATGAAATGGAATTCTATTAACATGGAAAGACGGCAAACGAAGCATAAGCATAAAGTAGGAAACATCATAGAATTCTAAGCAGAATGTTAACAAAACAGAACAGAATATTACTATTCATTGATCTCTGTATTGTATAAAGTTTGCCTTGTAGACTATAGAATGCTATTTAGATGTAACGAAAAAAAGACAGAATTCTATGTATAACAATCATCTCCTGAATAAAATGCATAAGTTTAAAAACTTTAGAATTTCTTGATACTTTGAGTATAATAATATGATTAAGTTATGACTCACTAAGCAGCTGGCATGTGTATTTCGCTCTTCGTATCGACACCACCAGCTTCAATAAGAAGAATACGCTTATCATTTTCTTCTGACAGACGATTAGTTAAGACAGCACCAGCTGAACCAGAACCAACAATGATGTAATCATATGTGATACCATCAGTTTTTGTCCGAGAAAAATCTCGTTCCCATCTTTCCAAAACAGCTGGCGCAGCTGTTTGATCAGTAACAATTGTTTCGGACATGTTGTGTGCACAGAAAGGATGTCAACTAAATAAAGTTGAAAAAGTAGAAATGCGAAATAATATCGTAAATTATATGTTTTTTTTTAAATATAGTATGCTATATGTATGAATATAGGATGAGAAAAACAACAGTATTAAAAGCCACGTGTGTTTTTCTTCTGTTACAAGTGAGACCTAAATGCTACCATTTTATTTTGCATGAAACAAAGCCCACATCTACATCATATTATCGATTCTTTACCAATGCGCACGTTACAAATACAAATCGTGAGAGAACTGAGATAAGGAAAGAAGAATGCAAAAAAGTATTGTTTTTGTTACTAGCCATTTTTTCTTTCCTATCATCATGACTGAGGTCTATGCTTGGACGAATAAATTGATATTCATTCAAGTGAAGCTGATACAGTCATTTGATCTAAAAATGCATATATCTAAACTTGTTCATCCTAGTATTTAGCATTTGAGTTGCTTCTTAAATTTATTTCTAACACTACAGAATTTAAATTGGATCAAAAAGAAAAACGAAGATGTTGGTTACCGGCGAGTCAGTTTTGTTTTATCTAGCATACATTCAAATACTTTAATATATTCAACTATGTTCAATACTAGTTAAAACTATTAAAAACAGAACTATCTATGGTTATAAGAAATTATTTTTGACGAATTACAAGTTTTCTTGATTATCTGAGCAATAAAAAACACTACAGTCATAAGATAATGTTGTAAGGAAGAACGTGTATTACTTGTCTTTTTTTTAAAATAGAAGGCATAACGCAAATTTTTTGTGCATTATCATATATGTGTGTTTTTTCTAGGAGCAAACAAAAATTTTTTGTATCGAATTGAAGTAACACGTTCATATCTTTATTCAAATTTAAAATAAAAATATTTTTCATTAATAGATCATCCATGAAAAGTATTTGTATAGGTGATTAATAGAAATGTTTTATTATGCATCGATATACATTATTCTATGTGCTTTCCACAGTGACATTGAAAATAATTTGCTGAATAATTCATAGTCTGTGAATACATGATTTTTCGTATTTTATCAGATTTCGATATAACGGGTGCGGCAGAATAAATGGCGGTCTCAGTATTTTGTCAATATCTCTTTCAATTTTCATTGTTTCGGGCTGTGCTTTTTTCCAAAAGATTCAGCTTTCAATTCTCTACAAAACCATATATAAAGAAGTATCACAGAGGTAAAAGTAAAAAATTTATTGCATTAATACTGAGAACATGCTACATCTACAACTTTCCAGCGCAAAATATGGTTTTCTTGTATTTATGTATTCTCATGTCGAGCTATGTGGACAATAAAAATACACATTTTGTAGAGTTTCAAAAGCTCTATCTTATTAGTATGTTGAAGGATTTTAACGACATAATCTTATCCCATAAAATAAGCATTACTTTTTTTGGAATTTTCAAAAAACACGCTTTTTTTTCTGTAGGTTTTCATATACTTCAAAAGTTCATGTAACTCAGTCAAAAATAATTTTTTTGCTTAAAAATTTTTTTTGTTTGTAAGTTACTGAGTAATACTATCGAATTCTAGTTTAATTCTGGATAAATCCCATTTCTTGTCGGCTAGGTTCAAGAAGGAAGTTTAACCATGCCAGATTCTGACCAGTTGTCCACAAACTGGGCCTCTGCTGATATTTTTAATTGAAATGTTCTTTCTTGTGTTCCATCAGATAGAGCGCCCATGATTGTATAATAAATGATATCTTGAAGCGTACGAACAATGTTTTAATAGTAGAAAGAAACGAAAATCAATTTGAATATAAGTGCTTGGAAAGTTGTAGATGTGGCATGTTCTCAGTATTAATGCAATAAATTTTTTACTTTTACCTCTGTGATACTTCTTTATATATGGTTTTGTAGAGAATTGAAAGCTGAATCTTTTGGAAAAAAAGCACAGCCCGAAACAGTGAAAATTGAAAGAGATATTGACAAAATACTGAGACCGCCATTTATTCTGCCGCACCCGTTATGATTAATATCGATTAAATTTTTCTTCTTAAATGAAACATAGACCAAAGATGTCCACAAGACACATTCTTTTTTCATCCTGCTCCGGTAAACAACTTTCGCATTGAAGATTTTATGCCCAACGGAGCGAAAAGAACATTAAAAATGCATTCTTTATGTATAAGTTTCAATACTGATATTTATGTATCCATTTAATAAAGTAAAAAAAAGAATCATGATAGATAATAAGTAATAACAATCACGACGCATTTAAGAAAAACATTGAAAAATCAGATGAAAATGAATATTTTTTAAAATTAAAATGGCACTATTTTAATCCTAATAGAGTTTTTTTTATCTTAAAGTTTATTTAATCTAATTCGATGAGTTTTCTCTAATCCTTATAATCGATTAGACAGATCAACAAAAACATCTTCCAGTAAGAGAAAATTAAACAAATAATCAATTTCAATCTGATTTTTTAGCTTTTTTTTTATTTGGAGTGTGAAAAAATACTTTAGTAAAGTAAACGAATTATTTTGTGACACTATTGGTCTTACACACATTATGTTATTTTATTCATTTTCTCAGGTTTCAATTGTTTTTCTTTTAGTAACTCGAGTTGTAATTAGTTGACGATATGTGGTGAAGTAGCTACAGCGGTAGAAATACTTTAGGAAGAAGAATTTTTAACATTTGGTCTATCAATAGTAGAGAGAAAGTAATTATCATGACGTCAATCAGTAGCACTAGATGTTCGATTCAAGCTTTTGCTTATTTGTGCAATCGAATAGCAAGCAATTGAGTAATACTTAGAAATGTGTTTCTGTTGCAATTATTCTTTATTGGATGCTGTTTCTATATTTTTATTAGAATATTTGTTTTTCATTGATATGCGACATCGTCTGATAACTACATATGAGTTACTTCTGTAAATAATTCGAAAAACATCTTCAAAATAAGATCTACAAATTGTTTTCAAAAAAATAATCTACTCTTTGAATTTTTCAAGGAAAAAGATCTTTCACTGTTCTGCTTCGCTGACGTCTCAAAGTGTGGGGTGTGGGTGTTGGTGTGTGTCGCTGTTGGTCTGCTCAGACCATTCAAACATCCCATACCCAGATCCCACACTAGAGACCGTCGCGTAGGACCCGGACCCGAGCGGATCCGGGTCTAAAAATGTTGCTTTGATCGGATCCGGATCTGAAGGAAACTTTGATGAACATAGTTTGTTTTGAATTTTTTAAAGCTTCATTCGTTTTATGAAAAAAAAGAAATCAAATTTATTTAGAAAATAGATAAAAAATAACAACACTCTTCTTGACAATACCATCTAAACTGATTTATCATTGTGTTTGGACCCAAAAAATTTGAGCAGCCGGGTCCGGATTCGGGTCCAAAAATTCTTGGACTCGATGGGCTCTACCCCACACCCACACCCTCAGATGAATCAAACGTGACTTTCTCAAACTAAGAAATCGTAAGTTTTATCATTATACATTAGATATTGATAAGATTTTTCATATAGATTCTCGAGTAATTTTTTTGAAAACTTAAAAGGAATACTGTTACTGTTGTTGATGCAGAAAATAATCCTAACTATATTAAATTTCATTGTGCTAAATATCAGTTTTGTGAGCAAATATATAGTACACTTGTATTCATTAAAGTTTTAATGGAGAAATTGTTGAAAGAGTGAAAAAAATGATGATTAATTTTACACAATTCCTCTCTTTAGAATTTCAATATTGTTCATCGTTGAGTAATCTATAAGAATGTCTGTGGAAAATATGAGATGATGATTTTAGAATCAGACATACAAAATATTTTACAATTATAAAAGAACGGCTTCTACACTTAACGAGCAATGTAATATGTTGTTGCTATTCTAATATTTAAATGAAAACATAGCTAGTTCTTCTTGATGACTATCAAAGAGTGAATGTAGACAGAAAAATAAGAGTTAACGGAGAATAAGAATTCATGGATTTGCAAAGACGTCATGATAGAATAACAATTGATGTTGCAATAAAATAAAGAGAAATTTTAAACTTATCTTTCTTCTTCTATAAGGACTCAGCTATAGAAATATTATCTATTAATCTTAATGCTGTCGAATGATTATAGAACAAATTAAATCTAATAAAAATTCATTTGAAAAATTTCCAAAAAAAATATTGAAATGCAGTATAATTTCTAGAGTCAACTTTAAAAAAAAGATTGAATAAACTTGACAGCTTCCAACTTTTTCCACAATGGGCTTCTGTTCGATAAAACTTTAAATATTTGCGTAGTAACGACTAATCGAACAGCGGTCGATATTTTTACAAACCGTCTCATTGATGAGCTGTTTGCTGCTTAGACCTTGAATATCAATGTGACGTAAAGAGCCCAGAATCTGCAATGCGACTAACTCTTGGTACACTGTAAAATACAAATTCCAAAAGATATCCTAGAAGTGCCCATATGAATTCAGCGATAGATTTCCACTTTCTTGCATTTGCTGAAGAATATGTTCGTGGTCGTGATAAGGAAAGAAAATACACAGTTATTATTCATTTGGAATTCATCAAAATAATACAGCATTAGATATTAAATATTTATCAGTATTTTCACATGAAAAAGAAATATTAATTATGAATAATAGCATATTGCAAGTAATGCGTGTTACAACGAAAAATAATTTTGATGTAGAAATTGCATTACGTGAATTAAAATCGACATGAGTAAATCAACAAAAAGATAAACAAGGTGGTATTTTAGGATTATTTCAAATGAAATAATCTTTCTTTTATTGGATTCGTTGCTGCAATAACCTTAGATGGATGGTAAAAAAAATCGAATTACTCTAAGACAATAAAATCCAATGATTATATTGAAATATTTGTTAGCATAAAATGTTGAAGATCTTTTAACGACTAATACAACTTCTGCAGCGTTGACTGGAGTTTTTAGGAAAAAAATTGTGGATGTGGATGTTCTCTGCATTTAATGTCACACCCATACCCACACCCAAATCCGACTCATTCACTTGCGAGCAAGATGTTTCATCAAGAAAAAAGTAGTCAAAAGTCTTGACAAAAACTTGGTGAGATTGCGTTTCACGATGCAATCTTGTGTCGACTTGGATAAGAAAAAGTGTTTCTCTAATACAAAGAAAATGAATTTACAAAGAAAGAAAACAAGAATATTGATCAATTTTCAGATGCCGATTGTTCATGAGGACTAAATTTTGTCTATCTGATAGCCAAGTCCGGTCGAATAGATCGAAAAGTAACCATAGCAAAGACGGTGATATTGTCTTGTTGAAGAAGAATATCCAGATGGCGTAATGTAATATTATTTTCAAGAGCATTAGCAATCGCTTGAACACCTTGATCGGTAATACGATTCTCAGAAATATTCAGATAGATCAATGTATTATTCTTTGAGAGAATATCAGCAATCATAGTCGCTCCATCATCACCGATCTTATTCTTCGAAAGATCCAGATGTGTCAATGTCAATTGATCTTGTAAGGTTCGAGCAAGACTATACATTCGACTATCTTCGATGACACAAGATTTTATTCTGAGATAGCGTAATTTCTTATTGATTCGAAGCATTTCACCCAATCGTACGACACTGGTATCGTCCAAATCGTTATGCGACAGGTCAAGACTCAACAACGTATTATTGTTGTGCATCACATCCACAATCATTCGTCGTTGAACATCGAAAATTTTATTCGATGTCAAATTTAGATGTGTCAATGTTCGATTCTTCAGTAGACCTTCGGTCAATCCTTGTACGCCAGAGTCCGACATGTTTACATGAGAAATATCCAAGATGATCAGAGTATTATTATCTGCTAACATCGTTCCAATCAATTCACCACCATTAACAGGTGGAACTTTAGATGTCATCGTTTGCTTTCCACTTCTTACAGCTAAATTGTTTAGACCAATATTGAAATGTAACAGTGTTCGATTGAGTTTCAATTTATCGAATATTCGTCTTGCTCCAATAGCACTGAACTCATTATAACTGATGTCAAGACTTCGTAAACTCGTACAGATCTTCAACAAATGACCAATATATAAACTACTCTTGTCATGAAGATGATTGAATGGTAATTCTAATGTTTGCATGATGGGATTGGCACAGATTGCATCGATAATCATATGAAGACCTTCGTCTTTGAGCATCGTATTCGACAGAGTCAAATAAATCAATGTACCACTTGATCGTATTAATTCAGCAAAGGTTTCAGCACCTCGGGGTGGTAATGGTCGATCTTTGAATCGTAATGTCGTCAAGACCATACTCAATTTCAATGTTGCCATGATCTCGGTAATAATTTGATTGGTCATGGAACCACTAAAGGTAAATGAACGTAATGAATTGTTAGATTTCAATGCATCTCGAATGCCAGCTCGTTTTCGTGACCAACCACCTCCATCAGTGACTTTTGCTTGTCGTACGAAAGGATTTGAAGCGATGACTTGATTGCACAATTTTTGGATTCGTTCCATATTAGATTTGTCGTTACTATCAGAGAGAAAACCATTGTGACACACAGTAATAATGGATGCTCGACAGAAAGCCTTCACTAATTGATCGAGTGGTGGTGAATAATAGACATAGTTGAGTGTATAAATACGTAAACCTCGTTGTAGAATTGCTGTTAAACGTGACGTTTGTGTTGGATCTAATCGTCCACTAATGGTCATTTCACTTTCTTGTTCATCAAATGATATGCCTTCGATATCTCGCAAACGACGAATCAATTGTGATTGATCAACTGGATAATGACGTTTACATACCCATCGAATAGTCATGTTGTTTGTAATCGATCGATATAAATTGCTCATCGTCGTCCATTCGGGTACGACGAGATCTTTCAATTTCGATGTTTCGTCTGCTGTAATCGGATTTGGTTCGATTCGATTGAGAATATCTGTCATCCTATTCAAACCAGTTTGAAATGTCGACCAAAAACGAGTATCTTGCACTGTATTGATCATTTTTAGTTGCAAGAGATATTGAGCCAATGGAATCATGTACTGTTTTAAATATAATCCATAGATTTGAAAGAAAATTTCAGCATTAGGTAATGAATAACCAGGATGCTGAGCAAAATGAAGATGATTAACTGAACATTCACAAACGAGATGAAGAAGAAAATTATTCTTCCAGATATCTTCTGATTCCCATCGATAGGCTGGATCTGGTAAAATTATCAATAATTTCGGCATCTCTGCATTATCTTTGTTCATCATATAAACTTTTTGAAGAATTTGATCAATGCTCGACATTTCTGCTTCAGTACCCAGAGTTGAGAATGGTGGTTCTAATAGGACATAAGGCGGTGGAAGTTCTCGTAAACGAATAACATGTAAACCATGACCTGTATTGACATTACTGAGAACTTCAAAATATGTTCCTGGTAAAAGTAAGATCTCTTCGTCTCGTTGATAACATGAATGAGTTTTGATTGGTCGTCCATGGAGACATTCAATCGAGAATACGGTTCTCACACCGGTCTCACCTAAATAAGCAGGATGACGAAGTACATCGATCGATTGAGCGCACGATGTGATTCCCCACCAGATATAACATTTACGGGTCTCATATTTTGTATGTAGATCAGCCTTGACACCATGCCAGATGATTTTCATCGTATAGGATGGAATTTTAAAGAGACCATTAAAAAACAATCTGAGATAGGGCAACCAAGGTTTCAATTTTTGACGATCACGATGGAATAATATTTCATTGAGAACTAAATATAAACTGCGCGGTTTAATATCCAATGTATAAAGATAAATCGCAGCAGATTCATCTGGTGTGAGACCATCAGTGGGTCTTTTTGTAGCATCTTTCGCAATAGAGACATCGTGAGGTAAATCACTAAAAAGCGATTGAATAGGTTCCACAGCAGTTTCCAATGGAACAGGTTCTAACTTTTCATAGCCACTAATCGACTGCAGAGTAATATCTGGTCGATCACAATTATTGTGAATTAAACGAGGATTAAGATCATTCATCTGAACTGATTCAACCATGCTTTAAATCAGAATATTTTTGCAGTGTTATTCACATTTCATTGGTTGCCTTGTGAATAGAGCGATATGTTGCGAGAAAGAAAATGGATGTAGTTCCTTAGTTGATGGAAAAAAACATCATCATAATTTCCTTTCTTTTGTGTGATACCTTCGAACGACATTCATTACCACTCGAAATGCCTCAAGAAAATCGGTTACTTTCTGCTTTTATTTTTCTTGATCGTTTTAGTAATACAGATCCATATTGTTCCCGAACAATGCACACTAAACATGTTTGTGTTCCAAGAAAGTTGTGCGACTATACCTATTTAAGTATGTCCTATCTGAATATGAAATCGATATTTTTGAATGCACTTTGTCAAGCTCAAGAAAATATTTAATACAGTCAAATAGGTTGGAAACTGTATTACATGAAAATCAAGTAGCAACAGCATGTTTTACAGAATGGCACATTGCCTTTCATGTTACTAGACATGAATGTTTTTCTGCAATCGAAGACTCTTTTGTATTTTACTTGATCACGAACAGTTGCATTGAGAAGTTTATGCAATATTTCTAAATTTGAAAAGTCTCATGTGTTTATATAGCTGATTTCGAAATAAAGTGAACGTAGTTTGTGTAAACCATGTACGACAAGTACTACAGGAAGAGTCAAAACTGCAAAAAAAAATTTTGGCTAACAAAAGATAAACATATATTTTCCAGTACGTAAAAAATAAATAAACTTTCTGATTTTATGTAAAGCTTTGAAATAGAATTTTCTGTCAGATTATTTTTTTGAATTTTCAAAAAAATCGTTTCTCTTTTCAGTAACGGAGTAGATTTGATAAATTTGAAAAGTAAATTTTAGAAGATAGATACAGCAACAATGAATTCTTTCATGACTGAAAAATTAATCTATTGTTTGTTATCAACAGGTTTTACTTTTATTACTGAACTAACTTCCACTATTATCTTAGTATTAATATGACGAACAAAAGCTCGTCTAAATACAATCAATAGAAAATCAATTTTATTGTGATCATATATCGATTCAAATGAATTTTGTTTCCAGATTTGAATACTGATTAGAAGAAATTGATACTTTATTTTTGCGATCGTCTAATATATTTTTCGAGAAGAAAAGCAGTAAAGAAAAATTCATTTTGATTTTACAGAATATTGGAATATTTGGTGAAATTGAAATTATGTTGTGTGACTTTTTTTTCTGTCATTAAGATAAGCTGATATTTTGATGTCGAAAATTGTTATTCTAAGACAATTAAAAGTTTCGTTTTAAGGTTTGAATCATATTATATCATTATTAAAAACTAAATATTGAATATCTTTGATTTTATTTTGCAAACGATAGTGATTTATCTAAAGGTATATTTCTATTTGTTTTTTAAATTGTAGTAATGAATTTTGTTTTGACTACATCAATAATACCTTTTGTTAATTAATAGTTTGCATCGTTCGGAATGACATGATGTAAATAAAATAGAAGAAATAGAAGAAAAAAGAACGGAGTTCGTATAAAATACGCTAAGATCAGTGATAGAAGCATGTGAAATTATATTTTCCTTTTTTTTCGTTATATTTAATAATTGGGTAAATTCATATAGTAAATAATATATATTTTATTTATTGACAAGAAAATAGAAAATACAAACAAAAGAACGAAGTTTTCAAATCTTGTTCTATGATCAAAAGCAAAGATTATTTTTGCAATAGTACATTATTTTAAATTATTCAAATAATATTTCATCGGATGTCATAATCAAGTAGTTATGTCAACGTATAGAAGAATTCGCTGAACAACAAACTTCACTAAAATGACTTGAAAAAAAGGTGTTTTTCTTCACAGAATGATATTTTTAACTAAAATGAGCAGATTTCTTTTCTCCTATCTAAAGATATTAGTGAATAGAGTATGGAAATTTGCATCTGTCTCTATAACTTTAGGAAGACGTCAATGTAAGATGTGAAGCATTAATTATAATTTCAAAACAAGTAAAATACATCAATTGACTAGAGTTTACGATAATAACTTGATTTTCTCAGATGTTTCATAAATTGAAATGTGGTCATTTTTACATTATTTTATAGATAAATGTTAACAAATGCAATCTAATAGTTGCTTCCATATGATCTTGTTTTTATTCCGTTTTCTTGACATATAATATTTCGAGTCAATTTTTCTTGTTGCTGTTTCTATTTTAGAAAACATGATACGTTAGTCGTAACCATAGAACATTTGAATATTTATTTAAAATCGATTTTCAAATGTTTACAACATTATTTACAGTTGATAGATACTAAAAAAAATAAGAAAAGAAAACTTTGTTCTTCATTTTGAATCTAATAGTCTTAATCAGTAAGGTCAACACTGGTCTATTATATATTTTGTAGTTCAAAATAACAGACAAACATGTTTTCAAGTGAGACATAAAGAAGTATAAGTGTGAATAAATGTATCTATTGTTGATATATTTTCAAAAATGTTGTGAAAAAAAAATTTGTACTGGTCGACGTTTGTCCTTTCAAGAAGAATTATAAAAACAAATGTTATCGCATCTTGTATGTCGATGATTTTCATTCTTCATTGGCGTAAAAGTGTCCTTATTGACTTTCTTCGTCTCAAAAAAAGCTACGACCATATGTGTCGATATGAATTATTCGTCATTCAAATAAGATAATAGAAACATTTAGTATTCATAGAAATGTCGTTATGGTCGTGGTTTCTGAATAAATGTCTATTAATATATCAATATTTGTTAATTCAATATAAAGGTATTTGTTTTAATTATGATGGAAAATATTCAATTAAAAATAAAACAAATCGTCAAACATTATTTAATATATTAAAACAAAATAAAAATACAAAATTTTTAATTGATCAACATCAAAAAGTCAATTTTAATAAAGATGAAAATATAAAAAATGTTGAAGATTTTAAGTACGAAATTTCTATTTAAACAAATATTTATTTTCTATTTAAAATTTTGCTTTTAGAAAATTATTTCCAAAATATACAACATATTCTGATTATAAATCTTATGTTGATGAAATTATGAATAATGGTCATGCAACAAATATTATGAGTATTGGTTATCCAATTGCATTAACAAATACAAGTGGAACAAGTGGAGATCCAAAGTATTTTCCAGTGTAAGCAATGATAAGAAAGCAAGAAAAAAAAAGACAAACATATCAAAAAGTAACTGAGTACAACAATACTAAAGGGATAGATATACTGTAGAACAAGTTCATCTACGGTTGAACATCAAAAGTCTTGTACTCATTTTTATTTTTAAGTTGTGTACATTAATTTAATATGATTATATGCTCGTATAACAGAAGTTAAATAGTATATATGTACTTGTTTAATACGAGAAAAAAAAGCTATTAGCACAAATCCCTATGGGATTTAAGTGTAAAAACTAAAGGATCGATTGGTATTATAAAAGAAGAGATTAATCAATATATGTTTCGATTTATGAATTTTTACCTACTGTTGATGTTTGTCGATGATGAAAGATATCGATTGAAATATATTGCAGTAAGAATAAAAGAAAAGTAAAAAACAACTGTTAGATTAACTCTGCAATGTACTTTGATCTCATGGTTGTATCTGTCACGCATCTGTGAAATCCAAGTTTCTATTTCTCCACTTTAACACTAGAGATAATAATTATGGTTATTCAAGCAGTAAAATGTATTAGTCTGGGTAAATAGTGCATTATTTCATGTATGGAAGATAGCATTCATTACTCGTTTGCGATATTACACGTGGGCTAGATATGTATAAAGATTGTCCATTTTCATTAAATCATCGTTACTTCTCATAAACTCACAATGACAATATTATACTGTCGTTGTCTTTTTAGTACTAAATTTTTTAGTGTTTTATATTCAAGCATTTCTTGTATTAAACAAGTATATATACAGTGGTAGAAAAACGTTGAGCAGCAATGTAATTTTGATGTTTTTTCTATAATGTTAAGCACTTAGCTCAAATTCAGATAGTAATTTTTAATAGCCAATGGAAATTTGTTAACTAATACATTCTATATTAAGATTTCAAAAATGAACTATCTTAACAGTAGTTTTTAGGTCTCAGAATCTTTTTTTTTTAACAATATTACTTTAAAGAGCATGAGATTTGGAACAAAATAAGACATTGCGGTATTCCCTTAAAAAACTTAAAAGTTTTATAGAAACTGAAAAAAAAGACAATCTTTTGATAGATTTCATTTTTTTTTCTATGATTTTTAATGATACTTTTAAGATTCAACATAATCTTCTTGACCTTCAATTCCATATAATTTATTTTTGAATAAGAAGTTTAGATTTGTTCATAGACTTGTATTTTTCTCCACCAAATCTTTTCTTATTAGCAATTGTATTTTGTTTTATTCTTTTGATAAATATATATATTAGTTATTCACTCGATATTAATGAAGCATATGCTATATGTTATATGTTAACAAAAACTGTACCATACAATCTTTTCAATGGTTGTAAATCAATATCATTAAATAGTTTAAAATATGAAACACATGTAACAAAAGATAATTTAAAAACATATAAAAAGAGTGCTATAACAACAATTGCAGCACGTGAAAAACAAAATATTGAAACAATATTAAGATTTAATCAAAATATTGTACCATCAATTATATTTAATGAAATAACACACCAAAATGATTTATTTTTATTTATATCATTATGGTCATTACAATGTAAAGATTTAGAAATTATATCATCAACATTTGTCATGGCATTAATACATTTTTTTACATTTATCGAGGAAAAATTTGATTTTATTTGCAAACATATTGAACTCGTATGTAGTAATATGATTTGTGTACAAAAAGAAAAATTCTCACTATTGTCGGGTTTTTATTAAAATGCTAACCAACACTTTTGATTGTTTATAGCTATCGAAGTCGAGTTTTTGCCATAGCATAGAGCACAATGTTGGAGATGCTGGCAAATGGGAATATTTTTCGTTGTCC